CTACAGAAGTGCCATACTTCTGAGCAATAATCAAAGTGGGGTACAATGAATAATTGGTAGATATCTCTTCTTGTCTCAAAAGGTAGCAACTTTTTCATGCGCTTTAGAACAGCAACTTGTTGGGTAACCTTCCTCATTATTTGTGCAATTTGTTTATCATACTTTAGTTTGTCATCAAATGTTACACCCAGAAGCTTAATTTCTTCTTTAACTGGAATGGCTTTATCGTCACAGTAGAAAGTTGGCATTGTTTGACTGTTACCCATGACCATTGCTTGATATTTGGAGGGGTTCCGCTTCATTCCGTTCCTTTCAAACCATTCGTCAACACGTGCTAGATCTTCGTTGATCATTGTCTGAACGCCGAGTGTATTAGTGTCTGCAGAAAAAATCTGAGTGTCGTCTGCGTAGACAGAGAGATTACAATTTTTCACTACATAGGTGAGATCGTTCATGAAGATGTTGAAAAGTAGTGGGCCTAAGATTGACCCTTGTGGCACTCCTGCTTCAATGTGTTGCCAAGTTGAATAATGATCGCTCAGCTTTACTCTCTGATATCGATCTGAGAGGTAGCTTCTTATGAGTTTGACAGTGCTGTGATCGATGCCATAGTGCTTTAGCTTTGCAATAATTAGGTCGTGGGGCAAGGTGTCAAAAGCCTTACTTAAGTCCATTGAGACCAATCCAATCACTTTGTGGTTGTCTAGTTCTCTTTTCCAGTGCTCTGACAGTGTTAACAGTGCAGTATCACATCCATGGTACTTTCTGTATGCAAAAACATACTTATGATAGATTCTCTCGAATTTCGGGCTGACTCGGTTGTGAACCAAAGTGCCAAATATTTTGGATAGGGAAGGCAAAACTGTAACAGGTCTGTAATTTGATTTATCTAGACAACAGTCCTTTTTGAAGACTGGAGTTATTTCACCTTGTTTCCATTGCTGTGGTATTTCTCCCTTATCGAAAATGTAGTTGGCAAGGGTACTGAAGGGATGGCATAGTACTTCGGCTGATTCTTTAACTGCCCGTGGAGGGATACGATCACTTCCGGTTGCCTTATTTGCTTTGATGTCTGACATAATGTTTTTAACTTCAAGGGCGTTAGTTTTGGTGAGACACATGTGCAGAGGTTCAGGTTGGTTTTGAGTAATGTTAGATAAGTCAATCAGGTTTGGTTGTGTTCCGTTGTCCATTTTACTTGAAACGCTTGCAAAGAACGTGTTTAGAATTTCACTAACTTGTTGTTGATCTCTGATGATTTCGCCATTGTCCTTTAACGTTATAGTTTCTCCTCTGGTGTTTTGATTTTTACGTGCATTGATGTAGGGTTTGATGGTTTTCCAAAATTTCTTTTGGTCACCTCGTTTCTCTTTACATAACTGCTGAAAGTGCTCTTTTGTTRCTTTTCTTCTCATTTTTACAACTTTGTTTCTCAGTTTTCGGTATTTCTCCCAGTCTGTTGAGCTAGTAAGTTAGTTCTCTATTTGAGCTTTCTTCATTCTTAATTTTATCCTTAAATTCTGTCCTAGAACTGTCGTGGAACTATATATCCTTTTTATACTCTGCTTAAGTTTAATACTGATTATCAGTAATTATGTTAGAATTGTATTTTAGCCAATCATATGCTTCAATCCCACCGGTCAATTCAGTACTATATTATAACCCTAGTGAAATTACGTCAAAAACTATGTCACTATAAAATTTAGAAGCACATTTTTGTATAGTCTAGTTGGTATAGCCGCCGAAGCAGTTGTGTAAAGCCTCTTTGAACTTAAACCGTTTTTGATCAAGGACTTGTACTACTTGAGTACATCCAACAGTTACAAGTCGTAACACTTTCGAGTCGAGATACTTTGTAACATACAAACAAAAAGTAAAATACGACATGTTAAGTTAGCTTTTATGATATTTCTTAACAGTATATATATTCATATATTCTACAAATTCAATAATCCACAATCCGATGTCAACGTACTACACTCGCCTCGAAGTTTTCTATTCTACTCTCAGGGTCTAAATGGAGTGGGGCAGGGGGGGTCTCAATATCGGTTGTCATTTAAAATTTCAAGCATTTGTCGGTAGTCAGTTAAARTTCTAGACATTTGTCGGTAGCTAGTCTGTTATTAAAAAAAATTGATAAGCATTAAGTTTGAATGCATCTAAAACGGTGCGTTATTCAACAGGATGCTTTGGCTTCTCCTGAAAATTAAAAATTAAATTAATTTGACGTGAGTCTGATATCTACTGCAAAGCAGAGGTCTCACTCGGAACAGGCTAAAGCGTCTGTGATAACATCTCCCTGCTTAGAAAAGCTTAGCAAAGCTTAGAATTTTATTCCGACCACGGTACTATTTTTTCACAGTCTGCATAATCCAAACAATCTCGAAAATATATATTTATATTTATATTTATATTTATATTTATATTTGTATTTGTATTTGTATGCTAATTAGCACAGGAAACCCATTACACGGTGTTTAACGAAAATGCCACGCTTTCCCGTGATTTGCAAAGATACGTAAACATAAATCCCGCATTCCGTTCCCAAGTTTTGCCGTATCCTGGTCCCAGTAGAACAGTCAAATCCCGGATTCCCGTCAATATATTGGGTTTTTTCCCATTCCCGCCCGGCCCCCCGAAAATACCCTTCCAGACCCTGATCGTCATTAAGCTAGCAATATTCTTTTTCAGTCATTGTTTAACAGTTACTTTTTTTGATATATGTACACATTGTGCAACTTTTTGCATGGTTGGCGACTGGTTGCCAAATAAATAGCTTGGCGGCTTGCCTTTTTGTGTTTTTTTTTTTTTAAATCCCCGGGCTGAACTGATCGAGAGAGTACCCTTTCTGTTTTGCGACTTATAATTAACTCTTACCAAATATTTAGTTTTAGGTGCCAATTAGTTGCAGTTAGAGTTATCCATAATTAAACAGAAAAAATATTAAGTCTGTTTTAGTAAAATATATGGATCGACGTTTTCCCTCACTTCCTTCAAAGCGGAAACTCACTGATTTACCGATAGATATATTTGTTCAATGTGATCCATTTTTTATATTAACATCCTGTGGCTTTGAGTACTTACTACGAGTTAATACGCTAAAAGATTTTTAAAGCTTTCTACTGTATTTTTTTTGGATCCGACTACGATTTTAGTAGGCGGTTGCTAGGCACCCTTGAACGCTTATTCGTAGTGCGCTTGCGCAGGAAGAAAGCGCGCCTGACCTGAACACATAATCTTGTAATTTATCCCAATGTTTGCGTTGAAARCTGTCATTGAAAGGGTTTTTCATCTTATCGGTTTACATTGAYTGCAGCTGAGCTATCATATTCTCAGAATGCATCTTGTCCAAGGTCCAATGTCAACGACTTCTACCCCAAGAGAGCCACTCGTGCCGGAGACTTCACCAGACGAGGWGATGGCGCCGTCGAGTGAGGGAAACCTAAAGATTTTGAACATCATGTGAGCTTTGYCCACTACTACATKTTTARTAGARAAGAAGATGAACTGATTGATGATTTTTCTGTTTAYTGTTCTTTCAGAGAGACGAATTCAGAAGTTATGTGCTGTCGTTTTAGTATAGATGGAGGYTTGCTCGCAGTTGGACTAGCAAGTGGAATAATTAAAGTAAAGCTCATTTACAGTACAAGAAACTTACTTGTTTTTTATTTAAAAAATATTTCTTTTCCATTTAAGGAACTTCCAAATAATCATAGCTAGTTTAGGTAGATATTATACTAGATTTGCTTGTTATTCGTGATCTTTTATGAAGTTGTACTCAAACTTGTACTGAACACTTCTCTTTGCATTCAGGTTTATTCTCCAGACACTGGCCGAAGCATTTATAATCTTTCAGATCAAGACACRCTCAAAAGTCGCCTTCCAGTGACTTGCATTCGATGGAAAGCTGTTTCTGAAGGCGAAGATTGGGCAAACGTTTTGATAGCAACATGTAAGTATAAACAACAACASCATGTACCCATACAAAAAATATTGTAAACTTCAYTCGTAAACTTCACTGAGTCGTAATTTGTACAAAAATTAATTATCATTTTGATTTATATCATTCCTCATTATCACCCCATAAAATAATCTTATAATTGATGGTAAAAGTTTTCCGATTCTCTTCTTTTTCAGAAAAATAAAAATATAACAAAAAGGAAAGCAAAAACATAATTATTTTTTTATGCTGTGAATGCAATAGAAGTGAGTGAGTGGGTGGCTGAATGAATGAAAGATGCTAAATTAGATTCCTGTTTTATATTAAATTCATTTCCTCTTTCTTAAAAGATATAGAGGGAACAAACAATAGATTTTTTCCTTGCTTTGGTCCCACTTGATGCAAATGATCTCTTATTGTTTTTGACCTGCATTAAAGAGAAACACTTTTTAACCTTTTCATTCTAAAAAAGCAAAATACCTGCTGTGGATCATTAAAGTTATATATTCAGCAGAGAGGGTCACAGCATACAAAAGTAAGCTGCACTTTGTGTTMAAAAAGCAAAAAACAAAATGCAAACAATAAAGATTGACATGCCTTGAGGGCCTCTGTTCTATCCTTGAAGATTAATAAATGCAGTTTGCAGCAAGATCAAATTTATAGAGTTAAATGTCTAGGTGATTCCTTAAATCTCTTGAGAATTGTCTTACTAGTTATAGGAAAGCAATACATCAAACAAGTTGTGTGTGATGTGCAGTTTTGACATACAGCATTGATGATTTTTGGTTGAACTAACAGCCTTGTGCTTATTGAGTGTTCTTAACTGCTTTAAAAATAATTGATCGTCATGTGTATGCTTTATTTGTACCTTCTTTTGCTAATATGTTTCTTGTTAAAAATTGCTCTTTTCTCCTGCTTCTCAAAATAGTTGTTTCCCTATTCTTTTAAAAATTGTAAATATTTTGGCTGTGAGAATGAATAAAATCTATAATTTTTAAGCAAGTCTTAGAGCAGAAAGATGAGAGTGTGAGGAAACAATTATCTTGAAAGGTGCTACTTTGCTAATGAGCTCTTGAAAAAACTTTTTCATAATTKATTAGTTCATATTTTGTCTTTGAAGTTTATGGATGTCGTGTAGTTGAGGAAACACTCAATCTCATTTTGAAGGCATTTCTAGTGGACATTTGAAGGAGGCTTCTTATTACTAACTTCTAATATTTTCTAGTTAAAATAAGACAAAATTTTTAATGACTTGACTTATTTGATATTTCATAGATGCAGATGGTCGTGTGAAGCATTGGCATGTCACAACAAGCACTTGTTTGTCAACAATTCTTGAACCTAAACGTCAAACACTAGCYTGTTCATTTAATGAATCTGTYAGTCAGTTTGTTACTTCTGGCTCTGATACCAAGTTAATGGTATATGATGAAAAAACTAAGCAAATTATTACCACATTAGAGCCAAGGTATGAATTAAACACATATGATAATTCCATATTGTTGTATATCAAAAATTACTGCAATTCAACCACTAACAAAGACTCCAATCAACCATCAACTTATATAATTCAAAGAATAMTYAATGTAGGCCATTACTGGCTAACAAATTATGCATTACATAAATTTTGCTGAGGGCCCAACCATGTCTAAGACATTGATTACTACCAGCTAAAATGTGGGCTCCATATATATCCTATTATATTTTACTAAGATTACAAAGATTATGTATGATCATAATGATTAAATCCTCTCTTTTGTTCTAAGATTATGAAAAGTACTTTCCAAAGACAATTTTAATAGATTGAAATATTTGGAATGAATATTAATCACTCAAAATAAAGTACTGAACAGAAATTAGTAGGTTGGAGAGCATAGATTGCATGTATTCAAATAAAATCTTCCCCTTTAGGGGTGGGGATAAAAAAATCCTCCCTTTATTTCCTCTTTATCAGCTCTTCTCATCTTGTAATGGATGGTCACATGAGTAGAGTTTTTGCTGTCAAGTACATTCCTGAAGAAGATTACATCTTTGTCTCAGCTGGATGGGATGATACTATACAGGTACATATTGCTACAAACATACTTATCACTAAGTTATAATTGATTAATATAATTTAA